CCCCAAAACCCCAAAACCCCAAAACCCCATATATCAAATAATTGATAATTAAAATGAGCTTAAGTTAAAATAAGTTTAAGTATCATTCTTTTAAAAATATTAATATGAGAAAAAATAAAGAAATCCTCAAATATATGCTAAAACAATCAAATCCGATTAGTAAATAGGCTAAAATTAAAGTAGATTGATACATGCAAAAATTATATTGCATATATCACATGGGTTGAATACTTTCCCAAAGCTAATTCTCTAATTAACCTTGGAAAAGTTTGGACTAGTTCTATTAATTTTATTTAATTTTAAACTCTTTTATTATTTCAAGAAGTCTGTTTTTGGCTATTTTTGGTAATCTGAAATCACTCATTGTTTACTCTACAAACGTGATAGTTTCTAACTCACCAAATTATTCAATCAAAACTTTTAGCATTCGATCAATTTCTAAATCTTATTCATTTACATTGTATAATTCCTCACAAGCACCACAAAATTATCCAAAAACAATTTAAAGTGTGAAACTTTAATAGTATTCTCTGATTTAAAGCTCAAAGAGTTTTACATGCTAATTAAATACAATATAGAACAGAATTTTGGTCTCTAAATTGGCTATTTAATCAAGATAGTTCGAAAATTTATCTACTTCGCCTTATATATGTCTAAATTTAAGAAAAGGAGTCATTAGTTCTAATTTTTCAAGAAACTAATGAAATTACTTCTCTTCATGCTTCAATTGATCTAATATCTAGAAAGCTATCATTGTTTGATAGTAATCAAGTAAACCAAATTATCTTAAGGATTCACTAAAAAGCTTTATTACCTCATCTATATTGTAAATAATGTTGCATTTCAACAACTCATAATTGTATAGATACAATATCTTGCTTTCATTGAAATCTTCTTGTAAATCATTTTTAAGGTCTATTTCTATTTACTCTTTAGCATTGTCATTATTTATTTTATTATCAAAGTGCTTTTCCATTTTTTTAGTTGTCATAAGCTGGTAAGTTTATGATTGCCCTTTTTAATTTTAAGAATTTTCTAATTCATTCTTATCTACTTTTATTTGATTATCATCTATAATAATTCGTTATTTCTCGTCATTCGCTAAACCATTTTTTAGGTCAGGTTTTTCACAATTATCTTATAATTAATTATTATCAAAGTGGAAATTATTATTAACTCCAAACCAGCTTATGATAGAATTTTACAGATTTCATTTAATGGCATCATTATTGTCTGAATAATTTATTATTTAACCTCGAATTCCAATATACTTGAGTTAAATGTGATGAAGCCAAGTATCTCTTGATTTTATTGGAATCCCTAATAAGGTTATCTTTATAAATTCACCGCATACTACATCAGGAAGAATTGAAAATGTCTGTTTATTCCCATTCTCTTATTAAACATCAAAATTTCTGCTTTTATAGTGATATTTATCAAACTCATCTCCAATTTCTATTTGAATTTACTTTGATGTAAAAGAGATTTTCTTGAATGCGTATTTCACAGTCCTAAATTAGAGTACAACTGAAGTTATCAATGCTTTTTAAGAATCTTTATTCCCAGTAAGTTTATAGATTAAATATTCTTAATTTTATTCATTTTCGGATCCAATTGAGCTCCAATAATACTTTTCTTAATTTCTGTAAACTGAGCAAAAGATAGATTTATTGGCATATTAAGAGGAAGATTCTACACCTTCTATCTACAAATAAGTCTTTGCTTTGTATGTAAATTTAATTGATTTCATTATGTAGTTTATAGCCCCCTGGATTTAAATATTATTTTAGCTTATATAGCTAATCTGTCTTTAATTTAACTTCAAAACCTTAGGAAATCTGGTCTTACTATCTTTAATCGAATTTTTATATTCATTTGACATCCAATTGCTCAGCATTATAAGCCAAATACTATTTTGCTGTTTAAGCAAAACAAAGAAGTGTCTGTTAATTACTTAGAATCTAAAAATATCCTATAAATCTAGATATTATAAAATGTCTCCTAGTTAATTAAATCCAAGAGAGCTAATAGTTTTGGAAAGGTACATTTCCATTTAAAAAATACTTTTTATCAATTATAATTATTAAAGTCTATCTTAAATGTTATAAAATATTTAAATTAAGAATCCTATTTCTACTTAAGTGATTTAGTTTTTAAATTCTTGGATATCATCTAAATTTCAAATTGCTATCACAATGGGGTTTTGGGGTTTTGGGGTTTTGGGG